ATTACAGCCGCGTGGAGGCAAGGGGGGGAGGCGACGCCGCTGCGCAGAACGACACGAGGGCAGCCCCAGCGCTCTGGCGGAGGACGCCCATGGGGCCGCGGGGGCTCCCGAGACGAGAGGCGCCTCTGGGCGGAGGCCTCCTCGGCGCGATCCGACCGTGTGGCCGTCACGAGAACCCACGCGGGCACAGATTAGAGGAAAGGGCTGCGCTGCTGTGAGGGTCGAGGGCAGGCTCCCCGTCGGCCACGTCCGCCTCGTCCTTGACAATCCATCCGCTCCAGAGGAAAGCTTTGAAATCGGGCACCACCCGCAACCCACCCCTGCTCCCCCCACCCCCCTGGGAGGTCGCTGGGCCATCCGCCGCTTTTGAACCCCTCCATCCCTTTCCCTCATCAACAACTCCTCCCTGCCGCACCCAGAAGCCGGTCGAACGGGCGGGCCTGGCGTTTCGCCTGAGACTTCCTCACCATGTATGATCCTGAAGCTTGGAACGGGCAACAGCTTCACAGATGGAAGACGGCCCTCGCGCCCCGCACGAACTTCACGGATTGAGGTCAGCCCGCTTTCAAAATGTCGCTCTCGCCTCAGCGCTGCGCACATTCGTCTTAAAAACTGCGAAAGTCGCCCGGATGGAAGGTGGTTCCTTTTCAAAATGTGGCTCTCGCCTTAGCTCCGCGCACATTCGTCTTAAGAGCTTGCAACAGTCTCAGGGATTCTCGTGGCTGAATCCCCATGAATAGTATGATGACACGATGTCGGAATGTCAGGGCGCAACCGTCACGTTGATTTGTGATGTTGAAATCCCAGGGATGATGCTCTGTCACGCTTCAGAATCGTCAACATGCAACACAAGAGGTGGCTCGCGGCCTTGGCGTCCCAGAAATGGTGTTCTGGCGCAGGTAGAAGGAAATTGCAATACCATTGTAATACCATTGATAAACTTGGGTTTACACTGTCCTCCTCCTCCTCCTCCTCCTGCCCCTTGTCCTCCTCCTCCTCCTCCTCCTCCTCCTCCTCCTCATCATCATCATCATCATCATCATCATCATCAGCATCATCATCATCATCATCATCATCGTCATCATCATCATCATCATCAGCATCATCATCATCTTCATCATCAGCATCATCAGCATCATCATCATCATCAGCATCAGCATCGTCATCACCACCACCACCATCATCATCATCAGCAGCAGCATCAGCATCGTCGTCGTCATCATTTTCAGAATCATCATAATCATCAGTATCATCATCATCATCATCATCATCGTCATCATCATCGTCAGCATCATCATCATCATCCTCATCCTCACCATCACCACCAACATCATGATCATGATCAGCATCATCAGCATCATCATCATCACCACAACCACCATCAGCAGCAGCAGCAACATCATCATCATCATCATCATCATCATCATCATCATCATCAGCATCATCAGCATCATCAGCCAGCATCATCATCAGCATCAGCAGCAGCGTGGTCATTGTCAGCACCGTCATCATCGTAATCGTCAGCATCATCAGCATTACCACCACCACCACCATCATCATCCTCATCAGCATCATGATCATCTTCGTCAGCAGCATCATCAGCATCATCGGCATCATCATAATCATCGTCGTCAAGATCATCATCAGTGATATCGTCATCCTCATCAGCATCACTACTACAACCCCCAGCATCATCATAATAATCAGCATCATCATCGTCGCGGTAGTCATCGCCGACATGTCGTCGTCATCATCATCATCATCATCATCATCATCGTCATCATCATCATCAGCATCATCATCAGCTGAATCGGCATCGTCATCGTCCTTATGCTCAGCATCACCCTCATTACCATCATGACCTCATCATCAGCATCATCATCATCAGCAGCATCATCATCATTATCCGCCGACCCCTTGTGGGTCTCTAGGCGTGTGAGATGGTTCCCCCCCCATAACCCCCCCCAGGGACCCCAAACAGGAGATTCGACCCCCCCCCCCGGCCCCGGGGCACCCAGGACCGAACGCGCCATGGCCCCGGGGCACCCAGGACCGAACGCGTCAGGGGGGAGCAGAAGGTCCCAAAACGGGCCAAAAGCGCAAAAACGGGCCAACGCGACTGTCCAAGAAGGCCCCAAGAGGCCTCCAAGACGGCCCACGAGGGCCCCGAGACGCCAAACGAGCGCTCCAAGACGCCCAAGATGGCCCAAAGACGGCCTAAGAGGCCTCCTAGACGGCCCAAGAGGTCCCCACGAGGCCCCAAGAGACCTCCAAGATGCGTCCCAAGAGGGTCCCTGGACGCCAAAATTGACCCATTCCCTTCGTGAAACGTACATTTTTCACAAATTCGCCTTCTGGGCTTTCCGATGCTCCCAGACGGCCCAAGAGGCCCCCAAGACCGCCCCAAGACGGCCCAAAAAGCCTCCAAGAGGGTCCCAAGATAGCCCAAGAGGGCCCCAAGACGGCCCAACAAGCGTCCAAGACGGCCCAAGAGGGCCCCGAAGACGGCCCCAAGAGCGCTCCAGGAGCGCTCGAAGTGGCCTCCAAGAGAGCTCAATATGGTCCCAGACGGTCCAAGAGCGATCAAAGACACCGAAGATGGCCTCCAGCCGGCCCAAGATGCCCCCAAGAGGCACCAAGAGGCATCCAAGATGCGCCCCAAGAGGGCCTCTAGACGCAAAAAGTTGGCCCGTTCCCTTCGTAAAATGTATATGTTTCACAAATTCGCCTTTTCGGCTTTCCGACCCTCCCGGACGGCCCAAGAGGCCCCCAAGACCGCACCAAGACGGTCCAAAAACCTCCAAGAGGGCCCCCGAAGACGGCCCAAGAGAGCCCCGAAGACGGCCCCAAGAGCGCTCCAGGAGCGCTCCAAGTGGCTTCCAAGAGAGCTCAACATGGTCCCACACGGCCAAAGGGGCCCCCAAGAAGGGTCGAAGAGGGTCCAACAACAGCCCCCGTAGCCCCCAAGACAGCCGAAGAAGGCCCCCAGACGGCTCCATGACGGAGCCCACAGGGCACCTTTTCGAGCCTTCGGCCCGAAGACGCCCCCAGCGCTCCAAGAACAACCCAGGAGGCCATGAGGGACCCCCAAGAGAACCTCAAAGGCCTCCAAGAAGCCACCAGGAAGCCCCCAAGAGGCCCCAAAACTTGGCCCAAGATGCCTCGAGGCGGCCGGATATGGCCTGCAGACAGGCCAAGATGCCACCAAAAGGCCGCAAAAGAACACCAAGAGATACGATAACAGCAACGAAGCAACAGGAACGATGTCGAGCGCCGTGTCACGATTCGGACAAGACTCGTGAAATGCAGTCCTGGAGACGCAGTAGTTTATATAGGGGTCGGCGGATGTGGCGCAAGCCAAAAGAATCCACGTCCGGAAGTGACGTGTTGCCGGAGGCAGGCCCGCGGATGCTGTAATGCAATGGATCCAATGTGTCCAATGCTTGCATAATTCCTACATATTGTATCATGTTACATTATTATGTGTCCCCCCCTACCCCCCCCCTGGAGTCGCGCCACTTCCATCGACCCTCAGGAGGAGGGCCCCTTCTGGGCCTCAAAATCTAGAAAAACCTATGGAAAACCGATGATTTGGGCACCTTGAGCCTTTTGGGGATCCAAGAGGGCGTGAAGACGGTTCAAGATGGTGTCAAGACGGGACAAGACGGCCCCAAGACGGCCCACGATGGCCCCAATAGGGCCCACAAAGCCCCCAAGATTGCCCAAGAGGGCCCTCAGAGCGCCCACCAGAACGCCGCCAGAGGCCAAAAACATCGATTTTCCTTAAGTTGTTCAAAGAATTTCGCGTTCTCGCCTTTCCCGGCTCTCAGAGGCCCATGACGGCCCTAGCAGCCTCCAAAATGGCCCCAAGACAGCCCAAGCAGCACCCAAGGGGGCCCCAAGACGGCCCAAAGAGGCCCCCAAGACGATCCAAGAGGCCTCCAAGACGGCCCAAGAGCACCCCAAGATGGCCCAAGACGACCCCAAGAGGGCCCCAAGGCGGCCGCGAGCGGCCCCCAAGAAGTCCCCCGAAGGGGCCAAACGGCTCCAAGCGTCCGCAGACGGCCCAAGACGCCCCCAAGAGGCCCCCCGAAAGACCCGGGAAGCCCCGAAGAAGCCTCCATGACCCCCCCAAAAGATTCCGAAATAGCGCCCCAAAACGGCCCAAGACGCCCCCCCCCCCCAAAAAAAACCAAAAGGCTTTCAGGGGTTCTCAAATGCGCCCGAGAAGCCTTCCAAAAGCCGGCAGAAGTCCCTGAAAGGGACCCAAGGAGCTCCCAACTCACCACTCCAGGACGTTTCCATATGGATGCCTCGACGAGGACGGCGCGGCAGACCACCGCAGAAGACGACAGGAAACGCCACCGCAGAGGACTACAGGAGACGGCATGCCATTCAAGCCAACATCTGTTTTTCAGGAGATCCACGCGGCATCAGCGACCTCGCAGTCTCTGCGCCTGAATGGGACAAACATGTTTGCCCTGTGTGCCGTCGGGCAGGCTCAGCGCTCCGCTGCTGGTGGCGACTTTGCGCAACGCGACAGGGCTCGGGCAGCGGGAATGATTCGCACGCAGCGGGGCTCTAGCGATAAGGCTCCGCGCGGCTACGCAGGCGGCTGGCTGGGCGCACCGCGGCGGGGCGCCTGGTCACGCGGGGTCAGGCTGCTCCACCGCGAGAACAACTCATGCCTTCCCCTGGCACTTCCGGCACAGGATTTCCCCGCTGTCTCGATTGGAGCTCCAAATGATTATCCAGGGAATGGCGGCAGAACACGCCCCGCACTGAGCAGCGTCGCTCTTCTTGCGGCACGCCGCGCATGTCCACTGCGGCAGCCTCTTCGCAGTGTACTTCTCCATCTTCGGCCGCGGCGTCACCCCCCGCACGCCGAGCACGGCGGGTATTTACAGCTCTCACAATAATAGTCGTGCCCATTTTTCAACCGCCGTGGCGGCCTGGCCCCGCAGAGCCCTTCTTTTCCCCGGCACAGGGGTTTCATCTTCCTGTCCATGCAGTCAGCGCAGATCAGGTCCTTCGCCCCGCGGTGCTGCTTGAAGAATGTCTCGTCGAACTCCTCCGTCGGCTTCTGGACCGCGCACTGCGCGCACTTGAACAGGCGGACTTCCGACTGCACGTTGAAGTGCAGCCGATTTGGAGCGCAGCCGATGCAGACGGCGCGGTCGAGGTCCCCACGCGCCTTCAGGTCGTTCACCTCTCCGAGTCTGAAGTGGACCAATGCCTTTTGCTTCCCGCACTTGCAGCACTCGAGGACGCCCGCCCCTCTCGAGGAGAAGGGGGCGGAACGGGCGGGTTGCACGCCGATTCCAGCCTTTCCGGCCTGCTTCTGCACGCAGAGGGCGCACCTCCTCCAGGCGCCCTGGCTCAGCACCGCCACGGCGTGGTCCACGGGGTCGCTCGTTCTCATGCCACTGCCTGGGAAATTCCCCGCTCTCTTCCGCTGGTGGCAGTCGCCGCACTGGAACGTGGCGTCCACCACCTTCTTGGACGACTTGGAAGCCGCTTCCTTCTCTGCCTTGGCCCAGCCGGCTTTCGCCTGCTCCGTCGTCAACTCCCCGGCTGTCATGGAGCGCAGGAGCCACGGGCCAGTCTGGTGCCCCTGCCGGAAAAGCATCGGCGAAAAGGGCTGCGTGATAATCAGGTCGTCAGCCCTCCTGGTGCGGCTGATGGCCACGTAGCCCGTGGGGACCATGGACGAACGGGGCGTCGTGCGCGCGTCCAGGAGGTCGATGATGGCCTGCGGCAGCGTGGCGCCGGTGACGCAGTGGGCCGCGGCGGCGAAGTGCGGGACCAGCGGGAACCCCGCGCGCTTCACCATGGCCTTGAAGCCAGGACTACGATCCCAGGACACCTCCTTCTGCTTCACGGGGAAGACACCCGCGGGCTGATTCCCAAAGCGGGGCGCCGTATTCCCGGGAATTTGCACCATGATCGCCTCGGGCACGTGCTGCAGGACCAGCTCCGGCTCGGACCTGTGGTCTTTCACCAACTTCGAGTCGTCGGGGTGGAGGACCCAGCCCGTCACGGTACCCCAGGAGTGCTTGCAGGCTCCCGCCTCTGCATTCTCCGCGGCGGTGAACCGCGCCCGCATCCCCTCGAAGATCGGCAGCACACCCGGAACTCCGCCAGTCTTGTTCTCGGGGTACATGAGCCAATTCTGCCTGGCGTGGGCGAGCGACTCCGTCGACCTGCATGCGTCGTCCCGAGTGAGGGGGACATCGCGCGCCACCACCCAGAGGAGCTGCTTCCCAGCATTGGCTGCCGCATTCGCCGCTCGCAGCGTCAGAATCCTGCTCTTCGGGGCGTTGTACGGGTGCACGAACAGCGCGTCCGCGAACGCCGTGCTCACCTCCCGCTGTCTGGCACCGCTCTGAGAGGCGACGCGGCAGCGCCGACGGCGTTCCGCGCTGCAATCAGCGCACTCCATTTCATGTCCTCCCAGGCCCGACCTTCTCCGAACATCCGTGGCCACTCAACTGACCAGAGCGCGCGGCACTTCGCCTTCCCGCAGCCGAGGTGCCCCGTCGAGGCCTCGGCGCTGCCGGGGCTTGCGGGCATCCAGGAGCCGGGCACATCAGTCGAGAAGCCGTGGACGAAATCGTACATCCTGTCCGACAGATCCCCAGCGCGCGCTTCCGCGAGAAAGCTTCTCCACCACAAGTCTGAGCAGCGGTGCGACTGGGTCAGGGCGTAGCGGTTAGTCACCGAGTGCGGCAAGCCCTGTGTCCAGAACATCTCCAATATGCGGCCGACGTTGGCGGGTCTCTTGACAAATGGATTGGCGGCTATACTGAGGCTCCTGACGGGCGGGATCTGCCATAAGTCCCCGAGCAGCACAAGGTTGAGCCCTCCGAACATGGCGAACTGTTTTGGGACGCGCGCGTCCACGGCCCAGGGGTTTCCCTTGTCCCTCGTCGAGTCCTTCACCTGCCTGTGCACGGCGTCCAGCAGCTCCACCGACACGTTCTCCACCTCGTCGATGATGAGCCAGCGCATGTGCTGGATTTTCGTGTGCAGCATGTTCTCCGACAACTCCGGGTCCTTCTTCCCGCCGGACTGGACTCCCGTGATGAGGTCGATTCCGAGCTTGCTGAAGTTGTGGATGGTTCGCCCACCGATGTTGCTCGCCATGGAATTCATTGGGGCGGTCTTGATGAAGTGCACCTCGTGTTCCCATCCCATGCACGTGGGGAACAGCCCCACGCCCTCGTCGCACAGCCACCGGATGACCTCCGATTTCCCTGAACCTGGCAGGCCGAGAACGAACAGCCGGGAGCACGGCGATCCGCGCAGCTGGTCCTGCTCGCGGGCCTCCTGGACGCATCGAAATGCTCCTGGAGGTCCTGCGGAACCCCCCTACGGAAGCCAGAACTGTCAACGAACCTGAAATTTCCCAGCAGGCGCCGCAGCCGCGGGCCCGTGCGCAGCTGCCGCCGCGCGGGCACCGGCTGCAAAGACAATGGTCCGCGGGGACGTTCTGGCGCACGCGCGCGTGGTAATGGAGCGCCCTTGACGCTGCGCGGCTCGCGGCCGCTGCCCGGCTGGAAAACCAATGGCCGAGGACAGTTCCAAGCCCGGAGGGAAGGCTCGTGTCCTGGAGCGCGAGCTTCTTGGGCAGGAAAGCGACGGCCTCGTGCACTTTCCGCTTGCCCTCGCGCCAGGCGTCGCGAGCCTCGACAGCGGTTCCGTCGAGGCCCTCCGTCCAGGCGACGCGGGCGCGCCCGCTCTCCTTGGCCTGCCCCCCCCCCTTCGGCTCCTTCGGCACGTCCGCCCATGGGCGGCCGCGGAGGATGCCGAAGCTGACGGTAGCGCTCGGCCCCTTGCCTGAACGCGAGCGCGAAATCAAAACGTATTAAGCCTCCGGAGCCCGACGTGGGCGTGGACGCCCCGTGAAAGGTGGGAAAGAGGGGCGCGCGCATCGGCCGCGGGAGGTGCGGCGGGAAAACGCATGGAAGACAGGCGCGAGTCGGGGGCCACAAGAGCCTCCCGGCACATGCCGCAGGACGCAAGCCACTGACGCATGCGCGGAGGCACAGCGCGCCGATCCCACACGCGGAGCCCAGTCGCGGGCGTATGTGTTGGAGTAAACTCGAGCATGTGGGTGGGAACATGGCGGCAGGTACTATTCGAAGAGTGCGGGCGGGGAGACGCGCCCTGGCGCGTCGCCGTGGATGCGGGAGGAATCTGGCGAAGGGCGCGCAGCGGTGCTCACGTGCACGTGGCCCACTGGGGCATGCGCGCGGGAACGACGCGCGCGAAGGCGCGGGCGCATGCGCGTAGCCGAGATGTCGGATACATGCGCGGGAGTGGGAAGGCAACCGGAAGTTGCGGGGTCCGAGGTGCGCCTGGGAGCAACGTAGTGCGCCGCCGGGCAGGTGTGTAACCAGCAGCGCTCGGTGCAATGCGCGCGCGGCGGGCGCGGTGCGTGGGCGGTGCGCGCATGACACGCGCATCCGGGAATGACTTGAGCAGGAGCGCGTGGTCTCGGTTCCGTGTACGTGCTCGGCGTGGCCGTGCGCGCCAGAGCCGCGCGCGCGAATCACGCCTGCGCGATGCAGAGGATTGCGGTGGATGCGCGGCATTCAGTAGGCGACTGGACTTCGGAGAGCGTGGGCGTGTATACGCGCCGCGGAGCAATGTAGCGCGTAGACGCGCAGAAGTGCGATCGGAAACGCGGAGCGGAAGTGGCGCTCGCGAGCACATCGCGAGTGCGTTGTGGTGCGCCGAAACATACGCGGAAGTGTCCGCCGCGCGGGCGATTGCAGTGCGGCGGGCGCAGTGGTGCGCACCTGAATAGTCGCGCGCGTAGAAGAGCGTCAATGCAAGCAGCTTGGTGGACACATGGGGCTCCGGAAACTGTGTTTCATGATGATTTCGCGCCCGCAGACCTTTGCCCGCGCTCTGGAGGCCGTCGAGGGCGCCGTTGGGGGCAGGGGTCCGCGGCGGGAGCTCCGTGTCGACGCCAAAGGCCTGCGCGGTCTGAGCGGCGCGCTCCTGGTCGCGCAGCTCTTTAGCCCGCTGGACGAGAGCGGAAGCCTGGAGGAGCAGCACCGTCCAGTGCGGCTCCTCTGCGTTCGTCGCGGCCGTCCCGGGCGCTGCAGGCGCCGCCGGCGGCGGCTCGGCCGCGGGGGCGAAGGCGGCTGCGGGGGCCACCGCCGCGGGCGCGGGGTCCGCCGCCGCCGCGCCGCCGCGCTCGTCGAGCGGAGGCTCCGCCACCGCGGGGCCGGCGCGCTCCTCAGAGGGGGCGCAGGCGCGGGGGTCGGGCGCGGCAGCCGCCGCGGCAGCGGCGGCCTCGTCCGCCTCCGCGGGAGGCTCCGCGGCGCCCCCCTCGTCTCCGGCAGCCGCCGCGGCAGCGGCGCCCTCGTCCGCCTCCGCGGGACGCTCCGCGGCGCCCCCCTCGTCTCCGGCACTCGCCTCAGCGACAGGCGCGATCTGGGCGCCTGCCGCCTCAGCGAGTGGCGCGGCCTCCGCCAGGTCGCTGCTGTCAGCCGGGTCAAGCTCCCGCTTTTGCCATTTTTGCCGTTCCTTGATCACTCTCTCATCGCTCGCGCGTTTGGCCCTCTTGCGGGCCTCTTTGTTATCAGCAGGATCAGGCATTGCCACCCTGGCAACACGGACGCCCGCAAGCGGCCTCGGTTCTTTGAGCCGATGCAGCTTCGGGGTGCGCACTCCGCCCGTGGAGTTGTTCGGAAGGGTCCCGGGAATATCTGGGGGTTCCTTATCAGTGGGTCCCTCGATCTTGCGCACGTCGTGTCGTAATCGCTCCGTGGGAGTGCGGGTGGATAGGTGAATCCATTGTCAAGCCGGCCAGCACAAGGAAATACACCTGACACGAAGTACTTGGCCGCAGAGGCCCCCAAGAAATCGTCGTTCTCTGCGTCGTCGTCGTCAGTTTTTCGAGCTGCGCCCAGCCGTGGCGACGGGGAAGCCCTCGACAGAGAGAAGGCCACGAACCTCGACCCTCGAGGCTCGAACCTCGGCGCGAACCTCGGCGACGGCCCCAAAAGAACACGAGCATCAGGTTCAGACGCCCGCGAAAGGTTTGACCGCCAGCGCCCACGACGACGACGCCGACGACGCCGACGATGCCGACGACGCCGACGCCGACGCCGACGGCGACGCCGACGCCGACGCCGACGCCGACGCCGACGCCGACGCCGACGCCGACGCCGACGACGACGACGACGACGACGACGACGACGACGACGACGGCGACGGCGACGGCGACGGCGACGGCGACGGCGACGGCGACGGCGACGGCGACGGCAACGACGACGACCCACTCATTGGGCGGCGCCCTCGGCGCCGCTCCCGTGCGCCCCTCGCCAGACCTCCGGGCGCACCAAAAGTGGTGGCCCCCTTCTGGGCCTCAAAACCTATAACAACCTGTGGAAAATCGATGATTTCGGCTCCTTGGGCCTCTTGAGGGTCCAAGACGGCGTGAAGACGGCTCAAGATGGTCTCAAGACGGGACAAGACGGCCGCAAGACGGCCCAAGATGGCCCCAAGAGGGCCCAAAACGCCCCCAAGATGGCCCAAGAGAGCCCGAAGAAAGCCCACCAGAGGGCCTCCAGATGCCAAAAACATGATTTGTTGTTAGTTTTTCAAAGATTTCAGCGTTCTCGGTGTTGTCGGCTCTTCAGAAGCCCATGACGGCCCAAGCAGCCTCCAAAATGGCCCCAAGACAACCCAAGAAGCACCCAAGGTGGCCCCAAGACAACCCCAGGGAGCCCCAAGTCAGCCCAAAGAGGCCCCCAAGACGGTCCAAGAGGCCCCCAAGACGGCCCATGAGGATTCCAAGAGGGCCCGAAGGCGGCCGCGAGAGGCTCCCAAGAAGGCCCCCGAAGGGGCCAAACGGCGCAAAAGCGCCCCAAGACGGCCCAAGACGGCCCAAGACGCCCCCAAGAGGCCGCCAAGAGGCCCCCAGGAGACCCCCAAAACGCCACAGGAAGCCTCCAAGAAGCTTCCAAGAACCCCCCAGGAGGCTTCCAAAAAGCCCCACAACGGCTGGACTGTACGTGCTCCGGACGTGCACCCCGCGAAGCGAGAGGAATCCACGTCCGGAAGTGACGTGTTGCCGGAGGCAGGTCCGCGGATGCTGTAATGCAATGGATCCAATGTGTCCAATGCTTGCATAATTCCTACATATTGTATCATGTTACATTATTATGTGTCCCCCCCTACCCCCCCCCTGGAGTCGCGCCACTTCCATCGACCCTCAGGAGGAGGGCCCCTTCTGGGCTTCAAAATCTAGAAAAACCTATGGAAAACCGATGATTTGGGCACCTTGAGCCTTTTGGGGATCCAAGAGGGCGTGAAGACGGTTCAAGATGGTGTCAAGACGGGACAAGACGGCCCCAAGACGGCCCAAGATGGCCCCAATAGGGCCCACAAAGCCCCCAAGATTGCCCAAGAGGGCCCTCAGAGCGCCCACCAGAACGCCGCCAGAGGCCAAAAACATCGATTTTCCTTAAGTTTGTTCAAAGAATTTCGCGTTCTCGCCTTTCCCGGCTCTCAGAGGCCCATGACGGCCCTAGCAGCCTCCAAAATGGCCCCAAGACAGCCCAAGCAGCACCCAAGGGGGCCCCAAGACGGCCCAAAGAGGCCCCCAAGACGATCCAAGAGGCCTCCAAGACGGCCCAAGAGCACCCCAAGATGGCCCAAGACGACCCCAAGAGGGCCCCAAGGCGGCCGCGAGCGGCCCCCAAGAAGTCCCCCGAAGGGACCAAACGGCTCCAAGCGTCCGCAGACGGCCCAAGACGCCCCCAAGAGGCCCCCCGAAAGACCCGGGAAGCCCCGAAGAAGCCTCCATGACCCCCCCAAAAGATTCCGAAATAGCGCCCCAAAACGGCCCAAGACGCCCCAAAAAAAACCCAAGAGGCTTTCAGGGGTTCTCAAATGCGCCCGAGAAGCCTTCCAAAAGCCGGCAGAAGTCCCTGAAAGGGACCCAAGGAGCTCCCAACTCACCACTCCAGGACGTTTCCATATGGATGCCTCGACGATTGCAGGACGGCGCGGCAGACCACCGCAGAAGACGACAGGAAACGCCACCGCAGAGGACTACAGGAGACGGCATGCCATTCAAGCCAACATCTGTTTTTCAGGAGATCCACGCGGCATCAGCGACCTCGCAGTCTCTGCGCCTGAATGGGACAAACATGTTTGCCCTGTGTGCCGTCGGGCAGGCTCAGCGCTCCGCTGCTGGTGGCGACTTTGCGCAACGCGACAGGGCTCGGGCAGCGGGAATGATTCGCACGCAGCGGGGCTCTAGCGATAAGGCTCCGCGCGGCTACGCAGGCGGCTGGCTGGGCGCACCGCGGCGGGGCGCCTGGTCACGCGGGGTCAGGCTGCTCCACCGCGAGAACAACTCATGCCTTCCCCTGGCACTTCCGGCACAGGATTTCCCCGCTGTCTCGATTGGAGCTCCAAATGATTCTCCAGGGAATGGCGGCAGAACACGCCCCGCACTGAGCAGCGTCGCTCTTCTTGCGGCACGCCGCGCATGTCCACTGCGGCAGCCTCTTCGCAGTGTACTTCTCCATCTTCGGCCGCGGCGTCACCCTCCGCACGCCGAGCACGGCGGGTATTTACAGCTCTCACAATAATAGTCGTGCCCATTTTTCAACCGCCGTGGCGGCCTGGCCCCGCAGAGCCCTTCTGTTCCCCGGCACAAGGGTTTCATCTTCCTGTCCATGCAGTCAGTGCAGATCAGGTCCTTCGCCCCGCGGTGCTGCTTGAAGAATGTCTCGTCGAACTCCTCCGTCGGCTTCTGGACCGCGCACTGCGCGCACTTGAACAGGCGGACTTCCGACTGCACGTTGAAGTGCAGCCGATTTGGAGCGCAGCCGATGCAGACGGCGCGGTCGAGGTCCCCACGCGCCTTCAGGTCGTTCACCTCTCCGAATCTGAAGTGGACCAATGCCTTTTGCTTCCCGCACTTGCAGCACTCGAGGACGCCCGCCCCTCTCGAGGAGAAGGGGGCGGAACGGGCGGGTTGCACGCCGATTCCAGCCTTTCCGGCCTGCTTCTGCACGCAGAGGGCGCACCTCCTCCAGGCGCCCTGGCTCAGCACCGCCACGGCGTGGTCCACGGGGTCGCTCGTTCTCCTGCCACTGCCTGGGAAATTCCCCGCTCTCTTCCGCTGGTGGCAGTCGCCGCACTGGAACGTGGCGTCCACCACCTTCTTGGACGACTTGGAAGCCGCTTCCTTCTCTGCCTTGGCCCAGCCGGCTTTCGCCTGCTCCGTCGTCAACTCCCCGGCTGTCATGGAGTGCAGGAGCCACGGGCCAGTCTGGTGCCCCTGCCGGAAAAGCATCGGCGAAAAGGGCTGCGTGATAATCAGGTCGTCAGCCCTCCTGGTGCGGCTGATGGCCACGTAGCCCGTGGGGACCATGGACGAACGGGGCGTCGTGCGCGCGTCCAGGAGGTCGATGATGGCCTGCGGCAGCGTGGCGCCGGTGACGCAGTGGGCCGCGGCGGCGAAGTGCGGGACCAGCGGGAACCCCGCGCGCTTCACCATGGCCTTGAAGCCAGGACTACGATCCCAGGACACCTCCTTCTGCTTCACGGGGAAGACACCCGCGGCCTGATTCCCAAAGCGGGGCGCCGTATTCCCGGGAATTTGCACCATGATCGCCTCGGGCACGTGCTGCAGGACCAGCTCCGGCTCGGACCTGTGGTCTTTCACCAACTTCGAGCCGTCGGGGTGGAGGACCCAGCCCGTCACGGTACCCCAGGAGTGCTTGCAGGCTCCCGCCTCTTCATTCTCCGTGGCGGTGAACCGCGCCCGCATCCCCTCGAAGATCGGCAGCACACCCGGAACTCCGCCAGTCTTGTTCTCGGGGTACATGAGCCAATTCTGCCTGGCGTGGGCGAGCGACTCCGTCGACCTGCATGCGTCGCCCGAGTGAGGGGGACATCGCGCGCCACCACCCAGAGGAGCTGCTTCCCAGCATTGGCTGCCGCATTCGCCGCTCGCAGCGTCAGAATCCTGCTCTTCGGGGCGTTGTACGGGTGCACGAACAGCGCGTCCGCGAACGCCGTGCTCACCTCCCGCTGTCTGGCACCGCTCTGAGAGGCGACGCGGCAGCGCCGACGGCGTTCCGCGCTGCAATCAGCGCACTCCAGGGATTTCATGTCCTCCCAGGCCCGACCTTCTCCGAACATCCGTGGCCACTCAACTGACCAGAGCGCGCGGCACTTCGCCTTCCCGCAGCCGAGGTGCCCCGTCGAGGCCTCGGCGCTGCCGGGGCTTGCGGGCATCCAGGAGCCGGGCACATCAGTCGAGAAGCCGTGGACGAAATCGTACATCCTGTCCGACAGATCCCCAGCGCGCGCTTCCGCGAGAAAGCTTCTCCACCACAAGTCTGAGCAGCGGTGCGACTGGGTCAGGGCGTAGCGGTTAGTCACCGAGTGCGGCAAGCCCTGTGTCCAGAACATCTCCAATATGCGGCCGACGTTGGCGGGTCTCTTGACAAATGGATTGGCGGCTATACTGAGGCTCCTGACGGGCGGGATCTGCCATAAGTCCCCGAGCAGCACAAGGTTGAGCCCTCCGAACATGGCGAACTGTTTTGGGACGCGCGCGTCCACGGCCCAGGGGTTCCCTTGTCCCTCGTCGAGTCCTTCACCTGCCTGTGCACGGCGTCCAGCAGCTCCACCGACACGTTCTCCACCTCGTCGATGATGAGCCAGCGCATGTGCTGGATTTTCGTGTGCAGCATGTTCTCCGACAACTCCGGGTCCTTCTTCCCGCCGGGGACCTGGGACGCCGTGACGAGGCCGATTCCGAGATTCTTTTTTTTCTTTCTCGTTTTTAATATGCTTTATCTTTGTGTCGCTCTTGCCTGTTGTCCCTGCTGATGTGTTCGTCGATCTCTATTTCTGTTGTTGTTGTACTTTTTGTCTAACGTGTTGTGTTTCTGTTTAACGTTCTCACTTTTCTTCTTTTTGCTGAAGTTGTGGATGGTTCGCCCACCGATGTTGCTCGCCATGGAATTCATGGGGGCGGTCTTGATGAAGTGCACCTCGTGTTCCCATCCCATGCACGAGGGGAACAGCCCCACGCCCTCCTCGCACAGCCACCGGATGACCTCCGATTTCCCTGAGACCGGCAGGCCGAGAACGAACAGCGCAGAGCACGGCAGACGCGCAGCTGGTCCTGCTCGCGGGCCTCCTGGACGCATCGAAATGCTCCTGGAGGTCCTGCGGAACCCCCCTACGGAAGCCAGAACTGTCAACGAACCTGAGGTTTCCCAGCAGGCGCCGCAGCCGCGGGCCCGCGCGCAGCTGCCGCCGCGCGGGCACCGGCTGCAAAGTCAATGGTCCGCGGGGACGTTCTGGCGCACGCGCGCGTGGTAATGGAGCGCCCTTGACGCTGCGCGGCTCGCGGCCGCTGCCCGGCTGGAAAACCAATGGCCGAGGACAGTTCCAAGCCCGGAGGGAAGGCTCGTGTCCTGGAGCGCGAGCTTCTTGGGCAGGAAAGCGACGGCCTCGTGCACTTTCCGCTTGCCCTCGCGCCAGGCGTCGCGAGCCTCGACAGCGGTTCCGTCGAGGCCCTCCGCCCAGGCGACGCGGGCGCGCCCGCTCTCCTTGGCCTGCCCCCCCCCTTCGGCTCCTTCGGCACGTCCGCCCATGGGCGGCCGCGGAGGATGCCGAAGCTGACGGTAGCGCTCGTCTGCCGGGCGCGCTCGCGTGCTGCAGGTGCCTCGGCGGCGGAGCGCCCCTTGCCTGAACGCGAGCGCGAAATCAAAACGCATTAAGCCTCCGGAGCCCGACGCGCGCGTGGACGCCCCGTGAAAGGTGGGAAAGAGGGGCGCGCGCATTCCCGGCCGCGGAGGTGCGGGCGCCCTCTTTCTCCCCTCCCCTTTATGAAAACGCATTGGAAGACAGGCGCCGGAGTTCGGGGGCCCAAGAGCCTCCCGGCACATGCCGCAGGACGCAAGCCACTGACGCATGCGCGGAGGCACAGCGCGCCGATCCCACACGCGGAGCCCAGTCGCGGGCGTATGGGTTGGAGTAAACTCGAGCATGTGGGTGGGAACATGGCGGCAGGTACTATTCGAAGAGTGCGGGCGGGGAGACGCGCCCTGGCGCGTCGCCGTGGATGCGGGAGGAATCTGGCGAAGGGCGCGCAGCGGTGATGGCGATGCACGCGGCCCACGGGGGATGCGCGCCGGAACGGGACGGCGCGCGAACGGCGCCGGGCGCGATGCGCGTAGGCGAGATGGTCGGATTACAATGCGCGAGGAGTTGGGAAGGCAAACCGGAAGTTGCGGGGTCCGAGGTGCGCCTGGGAGCAACGTAGTGCGCCGCCGGGCAGGTGTGTAACCAGCAGCGCTCGGTGCAATGCGCGCGCGGCGGGCGCGGCGCGTGGGCGGTGCGCGCATGACACGCGCATCCGGGAATGACTTGAGCAGGAGCGCGTGGTCTCGGTTCCGTGTACGTGCTCGGCGTGGCCGTGCGCGCCAGAGCCGCGCGCGCGAATCACGCCTGCGCGACGCAGAGGATTGCGGTGGATGCGCGGCATTCAGTAGGCGACTGGACTTCGGAGAGTGTGGGCGTGTATACTGGTTGCATGATCATCGACCTGGGATGAAAAAAACACAAGTGGCCATGTTGGAAAATCCTTACCAATTCTCCGTCGGCAAATTGTTAATTTTGGGCGACGCGTCCATCGCCGAGCGGGGGCGGGGCGGAAAAGATAGGGGAACGGAAGAACGATGGGCGCCGCGATGAGATTGCGAGGACTGCCGCGTGGAATATGCGAAAACGAATGCCACGATGATGTCTAGAACGCTTCTTCGCTTTGGGGTCGAGGCATGGCCCCGCCGACGCGAGCTCTCGGGGCTTAAGACGCGAGTCCTCGCGGCCTGCGACGCCGCGCCTGGGGCCTGCCACGCGGGGCCCTGGGGCCAGTTCGCGACCACCTGTGGCCGGCGACTTGGATGCGCAGGGCCCCTCACGCGCACCCCTGGGGGGGGGGGGGCGATGCGAACTCCAGGCGCGCCGCGCGACTCCGACTGCCGAAATCGCCAAGGACCGAAGCCCGCGGCGCGAGTTCCTGGGCCCTGCGAAGCGCCCCCCCCCCCCCCTCCCACACGCCCCCCAAGGCTTACGGGGCCGTCTTCTCAAGCATGCGACGGGGGCCCTTGGGGCATCGGGCCCAATTTGCCACGGCATTCGAGTTGGCTCAGGCTGGGGCTGACTCGGCTGAGCTAGGCGGGGATGGCCTAGACCGTAGACCATGGCAGGGTTACACGCAGCATGGGCCTGGCAAGACTTGACCGCGAGCCTTCGCATTGCGAGGGGGGGGGGGGGCTGTCAACAGCGCAACTGTCGCAACTTCTGCGAGCTCCCGAATGATCCAGCGGAGTTGTACGCCACGCGATCCAGACGAGATCTCGCGGCTCCCTGGATAATGAGAGCGGGCGGTAGTGGCGCGGGGGGGGGGAGGGGCGCGGTGACGGGGGGGGGCGAGGTGGCGGTGGGGAGGGGTGCGCGCGTGTGCGTGCGCGCGTGCGTGCGTGCGTTGTGTGCGTGTGTGTGCGTGTGCGTGAGGGGCGTGCGTGTGCGTGCATGCGCGCGTGTGTGCGTGTGTGTGCGTGTTTGTGTGTATGTGCGAGCGTGCATGTGCCTGTGCGCGTCCCTGATGTGCGTGTGTGTGTGTGCGTATGCGTGCGTGCGTGTATGCGGTCTTTGTGCGGGTGCGTGCGCGCGCGCCTCTGTGTGGTGAGTGGGTGGGCGTGTGTGTGCGTGTGTGTGCGCGTGTGCGCGTGCGTGGTGGTGGCGGTGTGGTGACGGCGGCGGCGGTGCGCAGGTGTGTGTGGGTGTGTGTGTGTGTGTGTGTCCGCGTGTGTCTGTGCGTGTGTGTGTGCGTGCGCGTGTTGTGGTGGTGTGCACGCGTCCCTGTGCGTGTGCGTTGTGGGAGCGGTTTGCGTGGCGGTGGTGTGCGTGTGTGTTGGGGGGAGGGATGCGGGGCGTGTGTGTGTGTGTGTGTGTGCGCGTGTGTGTGTGTGCGTGTGTGCGTGCGTGGCGTGTTTGTGTGTGTGCGTGGTGTGCGTGCGTGTGTGGGTGGGTGGTGGCGGTGTGTATGCGTGGTAGCGGTGCTAAGTGCGGGTGTTGTTTGGGGTGATGCGTAGTTTTCTGCACATACGTACATGTGTATATACACGCGCACACACATTTGTATGTATATATGTGTATGTGCATGCAAGCATGCATGCATGTGCATGTACGCATGTGTGGGTGTGTGTATGTGTGTGCGTACGTACGCACTCGAAGTGGTGGCGAGGGGGCGGCGGGGGCGCGCGGTTTGCGCGCGCGCGTGCGCGCGCGGCGGGGCGGCGGCGGAACGGGGGCGGGGGGGGCGGGGGGGGGGGCAACTGTCGCCGCGCCACGTGTCATCTCGAGTTGGCCAGTCTTTGTTATAGCAGTCATTGCTATAGGATGGGTCGGGCATGCACTTGGCGTTTGTCGTGCGCGCGGGGCGGCGCTTGCCAACGCGGCGGTCGCAGATTCCGTTCTGTTCGCTCGTGCTTGCGCGCGGCGCCAAGTGCGGGCGCGATTGCATCGGGCAGATGTCCATCTCTGGCGCCCGTCTCGCGGGAAGGGGGGGTTGCGTTTGGGAAAATGTCTCTCCGCGGGTGCGATTTATTTTCTCTGCGCGCGCGGTGTATTTTCCCCATGGGTGCGATTTATTATGTCCAAGGGCGCGATGTACTCTCCCCGCGGGCGCGATGCATTTTCCCCAGGGGTGCGTTCTCTCCGTGGGCGCGATTGATTGCCTCCGCGGGCGCGATTTATTTTCTCCGTGGTTGCGAATCAGTTTCTCCGTGGTTGTGGGTGTGGTTTCTTCTCCCTGCGGGCGCGATTTATGTTCTTCGCGCGCGCGATTTTCTCTCCGAAGGCGCGAGTGTATTTTTTTTCTCCGCGGGCGCGAATTCATTGTTCCCTGGGCGATATTGCTTTTTACTCCGCGGGCGCGGTGAATTTTCTCCGTGGGCGCGATTGTTTTTAACCGCGTGCGCGAATTATTCTCTCCATGGGCGCGATGTATTTTCCCCGTGGGCGCGATTGATTTTCTCCGTGGGCGGGATTCAATTTTCCGTGAATGCGTTTCCTTCGCCGCGGGCGAGATCCACGTTCCCCCCTCGCGCGATTTCTCTGCGGGCGCGATTTATTTCCCTGGGGGTGCTATTCATTTTCTCCGCGGGCGCGGTTTATTTTTCCGTGGGCGCGATTCATTTTTTCCGCGACCACGATTCATTTCCGCGGGTTCGATTTATTTTCGCAGCGGGTGCGATTCACCTTCTCCATGGGCGCGATTTAGTTTTCCCCGTGGGCGAGATTTAATGAGGGGGCGCCCTCCAATCTGATCTCCCCGACGCGGCGGCGACGGGCCCGTCGCGGACGGATGCGCAAAAACGATCTGTCAGCCGCGCGGAACTATTGAGAAATGATTCTATAAAGTTGCGCGATGTGCGATGGGCGCGCCGTGGACAG